GGGGGGGGGGACTAAGTTCGTGACAGGTTCCAATGAACCTCAAAAGTACTACGGTCGCTCTGACCACGTTGAGGCGTTAAGCCAGCTTGGACCGCTGCGGTCACGTAAAGGCATGAGCCAACTTGGAATTCCAAAGATGAGACAAAAATCATCGTACGTACGGCCTAGGCCACCTTCGCCCGCTCTGGGCACGTACATCTCCGGAGCAAGGGAGATAACGACCAACCCCCGTTCAACGGGTCCACGGGAGGCACTCTGCGGGCTCATCCCGGGTTGGCACGAGGCCAAACACACTTATGGATATGCGTACTGACTTGATAGCGGTGCCACACGCCGGCCTAGGGTACCAATTCCTAAGAAGATAAGTCGGAAGATAAGTCGGAAACCACTGAAGCCTCGGGGTCCTCAAACAGAGCAGGGGCCAAACTCGCAAGTCGGGGTCGAAGCGACAGGTTGACGTCGTACGTGCACATCTGCCGAACTCATTAGCCCTTTACCCGAAGATTGGAGTGAAAGCTTGTCAACGCCACAACCAAGCAGGTACGTCCAGAAGGCGTCCCTTCCGGATATCAGCCACATTGCAGCCCTCTTCGTTGGGCAATCAACTGCAACGTGGGATTGCCCCCCTGCTAAAAAGCTCAAAACACCAAAAGCGAGAACAATCCGAAAGGATCCCTGTGATTCCAAGGGTTACACACACACAGTTTGGAATAAAGTGCATCCATTATAGTCTAGTCGAATGTGGCACATGCGAACAAGCAGCTTGAAGATCATCAACAGCACCGATTTTGACCAAATAACCGCTTGATGGCTCAACAGGACAGCATCATGACCTTGCAACTTTTTGACTGAACATGTTGCTCCAAAAATTTAAACTAGGAACACGAAGCTACTAGGGGCTCCTGGCATCGCTACTAGGAGCAAGGACGCTACTAGGGGCTCCTGGCCTTACTACTAGGAACAAGAACGCTACTAGGAGCAAAGGGCATCGCTACTGTTGACCGGCAAAAATCCAATAAACTTTCCAACATAGACTTGACCTGAGACGCGGAGACCACCTAGGAGGGGACCCTCCTCCCCTAAGTTGGTTCATCTCAGATCACATCAAATCACATTGTGGTAGCTCTTGTCATCTCTTTGACATCTCTCTTTGTTCCTTCTACTTTTCCTTGCCCTTCTCTTTTTCCCTTTTCCCTTCTCATGTTCCTTTTGAGGACGGTTTAGTTGGTGGTTTGTATAGTGACCCACCCACCAAATAATGTTTGACACTGGTGGCGGTCATTGTGCTTGTTTATGTCAAGAGCATTGGTTTTTCCAGCTTATCCATTTGCCATTCCCTTTTGTTCCTGATTCTTTTCCTTGCACTTTTCCTGTTCCTTTTCTGCCTTAGGCCTTCCCATTTTGATGTTCCTTTTCCCCTTTTCCCTTCTCCTGTTCTTTTTTTGGCAATGAAATCCGTGGTTTAGTAGTCTAGTAGTGACCCACCACCCAATAATCTATATGATGCTCTTCGTTGTTTGATTGTCTGCATTCGTCATTTTGATTTTCTTTGTTACTTGTTGTTTCTGTTTTTGTGTATTCGTTTGCACCTTTCCTGTACATGATGCTATGTGGCATTCCAGTGGAACGCCGGGTGGCAAATCGTCACTCATGTATGGCTCCGAACAAAACTCAACGCCGCTTTGGCCCTGTACCTGCGGACGGCTCGGGCTTTCTCTTGACGACACCTGCATTGCTGCTCCCAGTAAAGCCAGATTTGTTTCAATGTTCATTTTTTCCGTTTGTATATATTCCCTTCTCTTCTTCTCCAAGCTGTCCGAAGTGACCCAAAATGATTAGACATTTCAAATAATGTTGTTTTCTGTGGCTCCTCAACTACTCAAAATTACTTTGCGAAAAGATCAACAGTATGAAAATTCGTCTGCACCAGCACCACTTATTTTTTTGTGGTGATATCTATTTTGCAACCTACATGTTAGTAGCAAAACACTACTTGTAGCAACTTCTATCAGTACCTATTTATTTGAATAGACTTATTTCACTAAGTGACTCATCCTGAAATAATTTTGCTGAGGTAGGGTCTAGCACACAACTTTTGCACCCACTCCCGCCAACAAATCCTCGAAACAAACAGAATTTGTCCGAACGAAACCCATCGAAACCCCATGCACGAAACCCAGTAGAAATGCGACATGACCCTTCATGCTGTTTCGGTGGAAGGTGTTTAGTAGAAGAAGAAGTTGATCTACAAGGAATAAGGCTGTTCAGCTATGTTCAGCTGAGGAGTAGTTAAGTGCAAAATGGCTACGTTCCACTTCACATGACCTCACCGCTGATCTATGCTGATCTACTGCGAGGCTAACTTCACCGTGCAATTGCGTCCAGTAAGGCCACCGAATTTTGACCTGGCCAATTCAATTTGGGAAGGCACCCCCAACAGGAATCCAGATCACTTTGCACAATGCGGAAGCGACACCGCACATAAAACGAATTTGGCAAACCAAATTCGGAGCTTTCGGAATTCACATTTCAGCACCGAGCGGAACATCGGCACTTCTTCGGAGTTCGCCTTCTATTCGTCTTTCTTCGTGCAGTCTTCAGCACTTCCAGCTTTGGATTTCACAAGGCATTGTTGCTTGTCAGCTTTCTACTCTTTTGAAGCTTTCACAAGTCTTGACAGCATCGGAGCTTGAAACGCTGTCAACATTTGAACAATGCCGGCAGACGTCAAGGAAGTTCCGAGTGAGCGTAACTTACTTGCGATCGTTTCTTAATCCTGTACCTCCACAACGAGGATTGTGGAGTGGAGTGAGGCCACTGGTCAGTGTGGTGAGGATGGTGCAATGGAAGAACAACTGGACTGCTTCTGTTGGGCTTTGCTATTGGCAGCATCGAAGGCTGACTCAGCTCTCGGTAGAAAGCGCTGGATGCTATTTTTCTGCCGGAGCACCCCTTCTCTTCTCGAAGCGCGAAGCTGTTGCTGGCTGCTTTAGAGCTTGTTTGGTCCTGCGATTAGGTGCTGGGGCTGAAGATTGGCTGGCTTTAGAGGCCAGGGATGGAGGCTCCAGTTGCACAGTGCGCAGGGTATGGCCAACATTGGTTTTGTTGCGATCATCTGGATGGTTTGTTCGCTGTTCCACTGGGCAAAAACAATCCCATCAGGATGACCGTGAACGAGCACATGACACGATTCACTCAAATAACTTGAACACACCAACTTGCTATGCGTTCACACAATTTTCGTATATGCGCATAAACCCAAAACTTGAGTGCTCTGTCCAACATACTCCCTGAGCAGCACTCGTGGCGAACAATTAGCCACCCATGAAACTTTATAACACCTCCTCTGAGTTTGCACCTTCGAACTGCAGGCTTGTGGCACATGTTTGAGAAATAAGAAAACTGGCTGGCACATATCACAGTATTGCAAATGTTTCAAACCCTTGCTTTCTGAAAATGACTGCAGCAATGATCGTCCGTGTGATAGTTTCATGGTTTTCTGACGGCCAACTCTTTTCGCCGTCTTGAATTTCCCTCAAAATCTTCAACTGGCATCCTGCCCACCTTCCTCCGCGGGAACGATATTTTCAGTAAAGACAATCCCCTAAAAGCATCTAAAAGCCATTGACCAAACGCAGAAACAAGGCATAGACTCGACCAAATGCATCACCTCGAAGATCCTCAAAGAGATGCCTTTGTGCACATCAAAATGCGCACAAGTAGACCGACAAGGGACTTCCAGCTTCAGGGAAGGGATCTGTGATGAAGCTGCCAGCGAGCAAGCTGATGCGCCCTTTCAAACCAGCCTGCAAATGTCTTGGTGGAAATATGACAAAGGTGCAGCCACAGCAAGTGAACAAGGAGAACAGTTTGTGTACGAATGTAAAAAAGAAAGAACGGAACAAAACATCAAAAAGAAAGGATGTTTTTCATGCCTTGGTGATGTGATTCATCGGAATCTCAATTGTTTCATGTTGGTCCCACAAGGTGATCGAGAGTTGCTGGAACTTCTTCGCAAGATGAATGGCCGCAACGGCTGCGCCGCCACCGACCTGAGTCAAGCAGAACGTTGAAGTCTTCGCAGAAACAGTGTTTCCAAGCGTCGCAGATCCTACAAACTATCATGTCGCAGTCATGGTTCTGACCAGTGCAACGGGAATTGTGTCTGAATTTGGTTGCGCAGGTTTGCGCACGAGCTAATAGCATCCGCACTGTACAGTCAAAGCTGTTTTGTTAACCGGTGCGAATCGGTGCAAGCTAATGCGAACCGGTGCAATCAAATACTAAACGTGCGCGCGATGCAGAACTGCAGAACATCGAAAAGTGAAAAAAAATACAAGTGAACAAACAGACGCAAACACCTACATAGAAAAGCAAAAAGCAACGAAGGGGCAAAAGCCGAGGGCATACGAGGTACAAAAAACTGGGAAGCAAACAAAAAAGATCAAACAAGCAAAGGAAAAATACAGAAATCAAGAACAGCCAAAAAGTCGAGAACGGAGGCAACGAATGTCAAACATTGCGAATCTGAAGAAAACAGTAGACAAGAGTAAGAAGGAAACCACAAGTAAAACAAGTCTTTCTAACTTGCAAAAGAGAAACATGTGTATTCGGTAGAGTGAAGCGCGAGTATTTTGAGGTCTATCCTGCAATTGGAGAGAAACCTTCCAAGAAAATAAAACACTTCTGAAGTGCAAACACCCTCGCCACACGAAACTGCAAATGTGCACCCATGAGAAGAATGTGCAGAACGATAGGGGAAACTGAATGGCAGGTTCGGCACATGCGCGGGTAGCTGACGCTGCGGATGCCCCAGCAACAGCTCTCCAAAGGGCGCACTGCGGATAAACCCGGAACACTCTGGAAGAAAGTTGAGAAAGTAGTATATACACCACACATCACCAAACTACTAAAGCGAACATCAACAAAATAAACAATTGCAACAAACGTTGAAGTGACTGAAACAGGTTGACAAAAGAAACAAAACTCATCAGCAGTTTAGTAAAGCGAAGCAACATGGTGAGAGAAGACCAACAAAACTCGAGAGTTTTTGAAGGGGCAAGGGTTGAGGACAAGTGGAAGAAGCTCGCCAACTAGAAAGCTCGAGAGCAAAAGAAAGAAGCACAGTTAAGAAAACATAACATACCGGGATGTCAAAAATTGCGATATGACATGTCAAGTAAAGTGACAAATAAGGACATGTAGCCTAACAGTAAGAGGGAAAGAAACCAAAAATCCATAGCCATAGCTAGCCCAAAATTTCACCCACAAGAAAGTCAATTACACCGGCATAGGCCCCAGATAGCAGGTGTATGGGCTTAAAGGACACGCTGCGGATGGCTGTCACCGGAGCACGCAACATCAAAGAATATCAAACCATTCCACCAACATGCGCAACATCTATCAGCTGAATCCGCTCGCCTTGCCCAACGCAGACGTAAAGCTGCAAGATCGGCAAGGAGTAGCCAAAACTGCCCAGACGACACGATGATCATTGCTGCACAGCACGGTGTCTTGCACAATATGACAGCATGTCATCCCTGGCATGATGTCATTCTGGGCCTGACATGCCCTGGCATGATGTCATCCCTGGCACGACGTGATGTCATTCTGGGCATGACATGGATGTCACCCCTGGCATGTCATGATGTCATCCCCGGCATGACGCAAAGCGAAGCGCCGATCCAAAGCCAGCGCCTGCACCAGCACTAGCACGGCACCAGCACCAGCAAAACAAAACGCCCATCCAGCACCAGCATCAGCACAGCAGCAGTACCTGCAGAACCAACATGCTGATCCCAAAGCCAGAACTGCACCTGCACCAGCACCAGCACGGCAGCAGCGCCTGCAAAACCAAGACGCCGATCCAAAGCGACACCATTGAGAAGTTAGAACCCCTATAGCCTGCAGCTATCTGGGGAAATGTAAATCTCAAAAAACTCCTCAACTCCGAAAACCGCAGGAAGGAACGGAAAACATCCGAGAAGGGACGGCAAGTACCGCAGGGCTGCCCGGATTTCGACCGTCAACCCGATTTCGAAGATTTGCACCGTCGTGGTACTAGTAGAGTTTCCGAACAGCTTGGGAAATAAACATATTATGAAAACGAGACAACAAATTGAACACAAAACACAAATTCAGGTCAGAAACATCAAGCAGCTTAAAGCTGGTCGCGGCCACTTTGGAAGTATTCGACAAGCATGGAATGGAGAACGCAGTGAAGGAATTCATCAAGTCCTCAGTGAATGATTGAATCACGGATTGGATCGTTCATTTTGCTTGACATCAGAATGAAGCCTTGAAGGCCCTTTTGTGAATCAGGCCTCTCAGCCCCTCAAACTACACCGACTGCTATCAGCAAATGCTCAAATCTGGTTTTACCAGTTGCAAACAAGTTGTACTAAGAAGTGCCGAGTTTTACAGCGTGTTTGAGGATAAGTGATGCTTGTGGCCTCCAATGCTGCTTCAGCCCAGGTTCGTAGAAGATCTTCTGGGCTCCGGGGGTTTGTGGAAGGCGTGAATAGAGATTGTCTGCAGCCCCGGGCCACTCTTGTAGTCCCACATTGGTATCTTTACCTCAAAGCCACATCTCCAGTGTACAAACGTACGAACTCAAGTCTGCTGCACCTAGGTACAACCTGGTACAATATGGCACTATGCTCCGCATGCTAAATGCAATAAAAGCAATTCGAAACTGAGGGACGCAAAGATTCAACAAAGTGAAACTCACCCTTGTATTTGATGATGGCTTCCAGGTCAATCAGATCCGCTATGGACCTCCAGCCACCAGTCGTGAAAAGCCTGTCGATGATCTCGCAATTGCGATAGGTCTTCTCTCTCTTGTCCAAGACGGTGAGGCCAATCGACGTGCTTCCCAGCAACAACACTTCAATGGGCCGAGTGCTGCCATCGCTTCGCTTCAGCCCCAAAGCCTCCTGAACTTTTTACAACAATGTGCTTTAAGAGTGCAACAATCAGTTGAAGGCTAAATCGAGGGTGTGTGGAGAAAGGGGGTCAGCAAAAATGGCTTATACAAAGTTAGTGCGTCAAAAATGTCAAAAACACCTTCCACAAAGTTCTGCGAAGGTTTGTGGGTGTTTTGTTGCAGTCAGTTTCCCTACTGGCCACCATTCCATAAAGCGTCCACGAATAGCCCCGGGTTCCACGAATGTCCTGGACCTTCCACGATGTTAGTAGAATAGGTTTTTGCAAAACTCTTTCTGTGCACTACCCTTCCGTTTGCCTCTGATTAGTGCTTTGAGAGTGCTTTTCACCACACGAAACAAAACGAAGCAAGCAATGTTCCAGGGTGGCCTGGCAACGTTAGGGCGCAGTGAGAATAGAATGAAACATAAACATACATAAACAACATGCCCACCATATCTGCTGAGCTACATTAATACATATTCTGATCGGTAGTATTTGGTTCCAACGGAGCAGGACTTGCAGGGCACATAGAGGGGGTGGCAATTTGGTGGTTCAATACTCAGTCTATGCGTCAAATCATCCTCCATCCACTAGTGACGCCACGCCAACTCTCATGGTAGGTGCAGGACTGGAACAGCACTCATGTTGTATCAGTTTGCCACATTAGCGACATAAATCATTGCAGAACAAGCTACTCACTGAAATCACCAAACATCACAGTGTCCGAAAACCATCAAGCAAACAAGCACCGAGGCGCAAGAATCAAATCGCACGGCTAGCTTCGGATTTTTCCAAGCACACTAGGTCCAGGCCGGAGTTGAACACAGTTCATCACAGTGCACCACACATCAGTTCATTTCGCATCGGGCGGCTGTCTTTCAAACGAGCAAGGTCCTATTCATGAAAACCCTCAGTGAACTTCTATCCGTGCGGCCTGCTTGCAGAAAAAAACAAGGTGACAAAAAACTACATGCCCCGCACAAAAGTATAGATTTGTGTGAAAGTGATTCGGATTTAAGACAAGTAGTGTCCTCAATAGTGCCTTTGGTCTGTGGGCCATTCTCATGCAAGAACTCGAAAAGTCCAAGTTGACTTCCGGCCAGGATGATTTGCGTGGCAGCATGGCCCATGATGATGTTGTTCAGCTGAGTCCTGGACACCACGCACGGTGAAACCGCGTCTAAGACGGCCTATCTTCTCTCAGGCTAAAATGGAAACAAGCTGAAACAACTGTGACGCACAAAAAGAATGAAGGTGGTATGACTATGTGTCGCTGCTGTCATTTCTCAATATGGGGCACCATAGGTTTCCTGTTAAAAGTTGCTTGAGTAGGATCTGTGATATAGCTCAAAAATGTTCAAGAGGTTCTAGAACGCGTTTCACCTAGGTGTTACACTCCACAACGAATCACATGTGTCAGTCTTTCGTCTTTCTCCAAGGCTCATAGTGGTCAAACCTTCAGGTCCACCAGGTTGGTCATACTTGTCTGGAGCTGCCTTCCAAATGCTGCTGTCTCTGACCTCAAACCGTCACACCGAGTTTCGTGACTCTCGGCAGATGTGACCAGCATTTGCAGCTTGTGCTACAATACCGTACAAAGGTCTTCTCCACATATCCAGCGTTTCAATAAGCAACTGTCTAAAGTACATAAATGGAGTTTGTACATCTGAGTACCGTGGAGTTCAGCGCCCTCTAGTTTAAGTTGCTGTCTACCCAGTTTGACCTGATTTCTCCATCCATACTTCCTCATCTGGAAACCACAAGAAATGTTCCACTGCTTGTCTGACAAAGTGTTATCATAATCTCCTTGATTGGCCATAGCGTCCCCGTTGCTGGCTTAGTGGCGACGCTCTGGCCACTGCAACCGGCGTCGTCGAAGGCGGTGCAATATGAACTTGCATGGACAAGGAGCTCCACTAGGCAAACCGCGAAGGCAGAAAGGCGAACCATGCTGCGGCACTGTGACGTTCAATAATGTTTGAAAAATAGAAGTCGTTTAAAGAAGGCTGATGGACTTGTGCACCTCATGTTCATCTCATGTCACGTCTGCACCCCAGAAAGAAAAAAAATGAATCATAAAAGTACGCTGAGACTACAAAGCAATGCCTGCGAATATAGATTTCAGCAATTGGAGGCGAACCATTTGTCTGTTGTCATCCGGTTCACTCATCCTTTTTCCTCTCAAAGCATTTTCACTCAGCGGTTCACCAAGGAGGTGGTCTGAATTTGCCCCGTCAAAAGCTGCAAATACTCTTTGAGAAATTGCTCCAGTTTTTCGCTTTCGCCCTCTGTCTCTGCCTCCCCTGCTTTTGCTTTCGCTCTTGCAGCAGCTGCCAAGTTGGAGACAGAATCATAAGTTCCGTAGCCGAAGCGCTTTTCAGTCGTCCAATGATGTCTGGCATGCCAAGCCTTCTCAATGGATCCAAGACCCAACTGTGGGCTTTTAAAGTCGGTCGCTGGGAATCGGAGATTTTCAGCCAAAAGACCATCTAGGAGCTGCCATGCTGGAAGCTCCAGCTTGGAAAAGTGTTTGCGAAACATCCGCTGGGCCAGCAGCATGTGTTTGGCAACTTTCCAATGCAAGTTCTTGTAGTCTTCGTAGTAGTGATGATTCATCGTGTTGTTGATCGCAGCCCAAAGGTAGGCAGCATGGTCGAAAAACGGCACCAAAACAAATGCCAACTGCACATAAAGCGCCTGCACCGCACAAAGCATAAAAGTCTAGTCTAACTCTGAGGTTCCATTCACTTTATGAGTAGATCAGATCCAAACTCGCTACTTGGAAGATCCAAACTCCGAATCCGGGTTGATTGAAATTCAATACTTGTATCTGAGTTTGGTGGACTTTGACAACAGTTCTAAAGTTCGTCTTTGCGGCAAGAGGAAATGTCGGATCCAAAAAGGCCAACAGAGTCAACAGTGAGGCTTAAGACGAACCTACTGAGGAATGTGTTCGATGGTTCTGTGGTCCAAAGTTTTAGTTCTTTGTGTGATACCTTTGCGCCTGTTGAGTTTGTTTTGGCAGAATTTGTCACAGCCAACAGCTTGCGGCAGCTGGCTGATGCGTCGCCCTTGCACCTGCCATGCAAGATGATGTGTTCATGTCATGCTCGATGTGCGCTTGGTTCAATCATTTACAGTAAAGGTAGGGGGCTGGCGGCGGGTGGCCCCGCCAAGCTAGCTTCGGCTCAGGCTTGTATTCGCGGGGCACCCGCAAAATGTAGGGTTCCGGTATCGGGCGCATGGCGCACTTTTCAACTTGTGGCCCAGGGGGGTGGCGAAAGCTAGGGGAAGAAGCAGCGCTGGGGCCTTTTTGGCAGCAAAGCCCAGGCCGGGAGTCGCAATATATCATGGCCGAGGGCAAAGGAGGAGAGGGCCAACAGTGCCCCCCCAACACAGGCAACACACAACCACCCGAGCAACAACAGCAGCAGCAGCAGCAGCAAAACAGCACCACCTGCGGCAGCCAGCAGCAGCAGCAGATGCACGATTGACCAACACCAACAGATATAACAAACAGTGAACAATCGCAGCTGCGTGATTTGGTATAAACCGTGGCTAGTGTAGACCGTGGTTGGTGTACACGGTGGTTGGCGTATACCGCGGTTGGTGTAAACCGTGCTTTTGTGCAAACCCTGGCTGCGGTAGACCGTGGTTTGGTGTAAGCGGTGGTTGGCGCAAACCGTGGTTTGGTGCAAGGCGCGGTTTGGTGTAAACGGTGGTTGGTGTAAAACGTGGTGTGGTGTAAACATGGGTAAACGGTGGTTGGTGTAAACCGTGGTTGGTGAAGACCGTGGTTGGTGTACACGGTGGTTGGCGTAAGCCATGGTTGGTGTGAATCGTGCTTTGGTGTAACCCGTGGTTGGTGTAAACCGTGGTTGGTGCAAACGGTGGTTGGTGCAAGCTGTGTTTTTGTGTAGACGGTGTTTGGTGTGAGCCGTGATTAGTGTAAGCCATGGTTAGGCGTAAAGCGTGGTTTGGCGTAAAGCGCGGTTGGGCGTAAAGCGTGATTTGGCGTAAAGGGGGTTGTTGCAAAACGTGGCGGGGTGTAAACATGGTTGGTGTAAACCGTGGTTCGGTGTATACCGTGGATTGGTTTAAACCGTGATTTGGTGTAAACCGTGGTTTGCGAAGACCGTGGTTGGTGTAAATGGTGGTGTGTGCCAAGCGTGGCTGGTGAAGACCGTGGTTGGTGTACACGGTGGTTGGCGTAAGCCGTGGTGGGTGTGATCTGTGCTTTGGTGTAAGCCGTGGTTGGTGTAGACCGCGGTTTGTGTAAACGGTGGTTGGTGCATGCCGGCTTTTTCCCTAAACAGTTTACAGTTGGGGTTCTATCTTAGAAAGAAAAGAGCTGGCCACACTCACTGGCCGCGCCCCTGAACTCTGTGGCTGGGCTCTGTGGATGGGCTTTGTGTCCAGGCCTTGTCCTCCTCTTGTCCTTGTCTTGGCCGCGCCCCCCCCTGAACTCTGTCAACTCTGTGGCTGTCCGCTTGTCCGTCTTGGCCGCGCCCCTGGACTCTGTCAACTCTGTGCTTTCTTCTCTGTCTCTCTCTCTCTCTCTCTTTCTCTTCAAGCTTCTCTTTCTCTGTCTTTCTCTCTGCAAAACGTGCTCTGAGCGCGCCTTTCTGGAGCGTATGTCAGAGCGCGCCCGATCGCGCCATCCAGAGCACCTGCTCTCTTTCTCTCTCTCTCTCTCTCTCTTTCTTTCTCTCTCTCTCTCTCGCTCTTTCTCTATCTCTCTCTCTCTCGCTCATTCTCTTTAAGTGTTTCTTTCTCTGTCTTTCTCTCTGCTTGACCTCTCACCAGCCGTTACGGAGGTCACCAATACGAGACATCGCTGTTATGTCGTAGCGCTCACGCTGAATTTACCCCCGAATCACTTTCACCTACGCATTGCAGGTGCAGTCCCGGCCAGAAACAAGATGTTAAATAGCATAAACCCATTCGATCCGGCTGGCTATGAAATTCTTCAGGTACCACAAGTCCTTCGGCTAGCTGAGGCTCGACTAAGTGATGGTACCCTCGTCCGCCCATTGTCGACGGAATATGGAAGGATTTATCTCACTCTGAGTGGCATCCTCATTGCGGGCGATGTGTATGACAGGTATATTATCCATAGACATCTTGTGGATTTAGGACTTGCGGGTCCTACGGCACCAGTGTTGAGCTGGTCATCCCGCGTGCTACCCCCAATCGCGGACAGAGGAGTTCTACACTTTTGGGCTTTGACTGATCTCCCGGCAGAACTCCTTGCCATTTCTTACCCCACCACTAGCAGGGCCTTTGATAGTGCACCGACAATGACCCTCCAGCAATGGGAAGAGTGGCGACAGAGACGCACATGCCGCGTCGTTATGACTGCCTGGTCAGATGATACAACGCTAGCCCTCTGGCCCGCGCTCCTAATGACTCGGGTGCAATGGCCGAGCCTGCCCAACATGGAATCTGACATTATGGGATGGATCAAGGTGACGATTCCCGCCTGTTATCAAGCAATCCGGCAGGCTTGGCGTACTCTAGTGGATTCCGTTCGGTCGGCCCTAGGCCAGGCACCGGTTGTACCCCCATGGAGACGAAGCACCTGCCTGCTGAGCCGTCTCCCTTGCGTAGAGGTGGCTACACCAAGTCATGCTAGCGGCAGCACAGAGTTGCGAATGCTTCCCGCGGACAGGAAAATAGCCCGAACTGCTGAAAAGCGAGCGCGGCAAGTCAATAGCAGGTCCGATGAGAGCAGCTCACTGATCCCTGATGCACCTCAGATCACGTGCAAGCGAGGCAGAAGAGCCACAATGCGACCTTTGGTTGTCATCAAAGGCTGCCTTCCCAAAGGGTATTATCTCCCCAGCGCCTACGCTCAAGACGCTTAGGATGGCCATGGCGGATCCCTCTCAGCTCTTTTCTAGCAGCTACTTTGCCCCCATTCCTGACAGTTTGTTGGCCACACTGCGATCGCTAGCATGTCTCTGCTCTGCTTGGTCGATGCTTTTGATGTCGGGGGGGAATATGGGCGTTTTTGCATTGCGCTACAAAGACGCATGCACATACTCGCATGCACATACTCGTCTGGTAGACAACCGATTTTTGTAGAGGTGGGCAGCGATCTTCGCGCAGCACGGTCGCCCTTTGGCTCAAGCGCTCCTTAAAGTGAAGGATACCTGCTCCCCCTGCCAGCACCAGGCCCGCACGGCTGCCGAAGCTGTCTGTTGGGGTCTGACATTCTGTGACACGGACAGTGCCGGCACCCAAGTGCTGAGCGCTGCCCTGGGGAGAGAGTGCCATGGTAAAACGGCAAGCAGAACCCTCCGTGACAGTTGGCCCTGAGGGAGTCACCCTCACGCCCTTTGCGAATGAAATTTGCCTGCAAGAGGATTTAGAGGTCAGCCTCGTTAGCCTTCCAGTCACAGTAGGCGATATTCGCTTTCCAATGTGTCTGGTCGCAGCAAGTGTCGGACGGCATAAGGCAGTGCGCCCGCGCACAGATGGCATCCCGGCGTGGCCACTCCACCAGGTGCCATGCGCAATGATGCAGTGTAGCGCAGCGCGCTCTGAGCGCGCCTTTCTGGAGCGTGAGCGCGCCGTGCATAGCACGCGAGCGCGCGCGCTCGCCCTGCTCTCTTTCTTTCTTTCTTTTTCTTTCTTTTCTTTCTTTCTTTCTTTCTTTCTGTCTCTCTCTCTCTCTCTCTCTTTCTCTCTCTCTCTCTCTCTCTCTCTCTTTAAGTTTATCTTTCTCTGTCTTTCTCTGTGTAGAGCGCGCTCTGAGCGCGCCTTTCTGGAGCGTATGTCAGAGCGTGCACGCCACAGAGCCCAGCCACAGAGTTGACAGAGTTCAGGGGCGCGGCCAAGACGAGGACAAGGAGGACAAGGCCTGGACACAAAGCCCAGCCACAGAGCCCAGCCACACGAGTTCACAGAGCTCAGGGGCGCGAGCGCGCGCTCACGCTCGCTCAGAGCGCGCTGCGCAGAGAGAAGACAAAGAAAGAAGCACTTAAAGAGAATGAGCGAGAGAGAGAGAGAGAGAGAGAGACAGAGAGAGAGAGAGAGACAGAGAGAGAGAGAGAGAGCGAGAGAAAGAAAGAGAGAGAGAGGGAGAGAGAGAAAGAGAGGAAGAGAGAAAGACAGAAAGAAAGAAAGAAAGAAAGAAAGAAAAGCTTAAACTATGCACGAGTCAAACAAACAATCATCGGGTACTACAGGTCGACTACAGCATTCAGCAAACTACAACAACTACGATCACAATCATCCAGCGTGGCAACAAGCTTCGGTGGTGGACAAGCACCTATGGACATCGATGCAATCCACAAAGGAACAGGCAAGTACAACAGTTACAAAGGAAAAGGCAAAGGAACAGGAAAGAACAAAGGCAAAGGCTACGGAGGATACAACGGCTACGGCTACAACAGTTACAACACCAACCACAAAGGAAAAGGAAAGTATGGAGGAAAAGGATTCAACAGCTACAACAGCAGTCCGATTGGCTTCGGCAATCCGTTCGGAAGAGGCAACAAAGGAAACAAAGGATTCAGCAAAGGATGCAACAAAGGCAAAGGAAAGAACAAAGGAAAACAAGCGACAGACACATGCTACAGATGTGGACGAGCAGGACACTATGCCAAAGACTGCCGAGTGGCAATACACAACAATGGACAAGGAGAAAGCAATGACATTGAGGACGCGACAACACAATGGTACGACGACTA